TAATAATTATGATTATTGATACTTTTGCATTAGCTATTTCATTATGAAGAGCTATGGTCCAAACAATACACAAGAATGGAAGATGGCTGAAATCTCCGGCTTGTGTACAGTTCTTGTTATTGTCTTATTGTGATGTATTGATATAATAACTTAGTCAACTTACGAGCAAATTTCTATTATGTTTGCGGTTTGTGTGGTTCTTCCTCCTTGATATATATGTTGTTGTTTTTTCGCAACGCAATGTAACAGCTGTGTTTATTTATATTATGCCAAAAAAAAAGCCAAACAAAACAGCCCTGTGCTCAATGTTGCAAGTGCTGTACTGCATATAAAGATATAAAGTTACCATCGTTGCGCTTGGTAAATTATCAAACATCGAAACCAGACAAGAGCTAAGCCAACTACACATTCAGCGCCTTGTTTCGGTTGACATTGATGTTGGGTTTTGGGTTTTGGATTTAACAAAACCATAACAGTTAGTGTCCAATTGCAAGATGTTGCCGAAACTGGGGGGCTGACCGACCCGTCGATGAGGCAATAAACCAAAATGGAGTTTTTTTTTTGCCAGAAAATGAAGATTTTTGCTAAAATATTTAAAAGTGAATGGTATGCGAAATGGAAACGGCCTCAATATGATTCTATTATATAATATTCAAATAGTTTATATATAAAAAAATATATATGTATATGTATATATATATATATCAGTATTCAAAATTCGTTTAAAAAATGGGATATATGTATATAATTCTTCAAATTACGAATACTAATAAGAATAATAGTCCCTGAAGTTTTCTGCCTTTCAGTGGATAAATACAAATTTGATTCGCAAGCTAGTAGGGGAAAAGAAGAAGCTAAATAACTGACTGAATGCCCCACAGGGGCTCTCGCAACAGCTACTGGGACGGATTGAAATTGTATATGCTGGCAGTAAGTAGAATGAGTAGGAAAAACAAAGCAAAATATATGCAGTTCAACACTTGTAGAGGTAAAAAGTACGTGAGAATCTTTTGTATTGCTTCCTCATTGTGTGCAGAGTTAAGGAAGGAACCGATGGGCGAGAGCATTGGCGGGAGTAAGGGACTAGAAAATAATTTTGTTTAGTTTCGAGCTGGAAAGTGTAAAACAAAAATAAGAATAATAATGAAACGAAAGAAAGAAATAAACACACATAAGTAACTTTAGTCAGTTAGTCTGTCAGTTAAGAGGGGCACAACAAAAGGTGTGAATGGAACGAATAGAGGAACGGGCCGACCGAGCGGCGGCCACATGCTGATGATGGTATGAATGGCGTGCCACAGTCACATGGAGATGGAAGAGGGCAGTCGTGGAAGGGAGGGAGCGTTCCGTTGCTCTGCTGCCTTTTTGGCCAACAATTTGCATGCATATGTGTTGCATGCAAAGCGGAGCGAGGCAGAAACCGCAAGCAGATATCAGGAAGAAGGAAGCCAATTTACATACATACATACATACATGCATATGTATGTGCAACATGCAAGCTTACCTATATAGAGATACTCGGGTACATCAGCTCCTATATAATTACTAATTGCATATGTCAGGTGAGCAGAGCCAAAGCCAAGGCTAAAGCCGAAGCCAGACACCTAGTGGGCAGCACCGTGAAACAATTTAAAGTTTCAGTTGGCTATCTGGAATCGAGCCCTTGAAAGGGATATTTTTCTTATTGTGCTCAACACCTGAAACACTATTTGTATAGAGATATTTGTTCCTTATGCTTAAGCT